AGCCCCTAGCTTGTTGTGAATGTTTTCCTCTCTTTAAATAGGTCATGCCTTAAATTATGGACTATATTATGGCAAAATTGTGACTTATATTTTATGAAATTGTATGCCCCTTTTCTGCTAAGACTGAAAGCAAGTAATTGGGATCCTTTTTTATGGGTTTCTCTTAACAAAGTAGGACTCACCTATTTCTTACATCAAAGCTGAATCACAAGGGAAATTTGGATCTTTTAATTCCTGATTAAGGACCTAGAAAAAAAAGGAGGGGGCATCAGCGAACCCTTTGGGCCTAGCTACCCATGTATATAGTTTTGACCTCTCAGATGAGGCAAAAAAGATGTTGACTGTCCTGGTATAGGGACTCACTGAGAAAGGCAAAGTAATAATCCACTACAGTGAAGCAGGTGGTTGGGGGAAGAACTGATGGACAGGATAGTATTTAGCATTAGATACTAATAGGAAGGGAAGAATAATGATTTTATTGGTATCCCTGAGATCTTGAATAAATTAATACCTTGTCCATTTGGTTTCTTTACTGGCAGGACAGAAATGTTGCAAGGGTTAGTGCAGGTTATAAAAAGGCCTTGGAATATGAGGCCCTCAGCTATAGATTTGAAGATTTTCGTTGCTCCGGCTTCTGGTTTTGGGGAAGTTTGGCGAACAGTTTGGTAGCATCTACCTGAACTTTAATAGATTCCATTCCAATTGTTTTTTCTGTGCCAATGGGAATTTTAACCTCCAGAGAGTCGGGTACAGTGCTAACATCTTAATCTGGAGTATATATGAAGTACAGAGGAGAAGGAAGTGTTTGTATAGAGCAGACACAACTCGATTATGAAGACTGTAGATGACTTCTCTGAAACCTCAAGAAACAGTTCCTCTGATGTACACTTAACATTACAGTTCCATTTGCAAAGTATATCTCTCCCTAATAAATTGGTAGGGGGGTAGTATTGCAGAGCATGAAGGAATGTTTTTCAGCCAAGAGACCAAAGGATATAGTTAAAGGCTGGGATATGGGGGGGAAATCTGTGAGTTATTTGAAATACCTACCACTTAAGTGCTATGTTTACTCCAAGAAAGAGGTTGACAAAGATGGCAGAGCTTAATGTAGAATATTAATGTTGTTGAAAGGTATTTTTATTTTATCCCCAAATCTCCTATAGTTTCATCTTCTTGTTTGCATAATTGAATTGTAGTTCAATTAACTTTTATTAGAAACATTTCAGGTGTGGCTTTTAGGAGACTTTGACCTATTTCTCTAGTCTTTTTTTTTTTTTCTCTGAGGTTTTTTGTGGAAAGAGGGATCTTATAGGTCACTCTCCAGGTCAGTCTAATCAGCTTTTGTCACCCAGAACTTAGCATCTGAAGTTCTGATCAACACGCATACAAGCTGATATAGGTCAAGTAACTCACCTAAAGAATTCCAAAATCTTCTATGAATATTTGCAGGTCTTTCTTGGGTTTAAAGAAATCTTTCATTATATGTATTATTTTATCGCAGGTCCAAGGTTTAAATTCTACAGTTGCCTATATACCTAGCTCATGCGAGGGATGGATCCTTAGAGGCAACCGGCATTTGGGGGTTTTAGGAGAGTTGTTGGGAAAGGGTTGGAGGTCTGGACAAGGGGAAGAGGAAGGAGGGGATGCAGAAAGAGAGTGATCAGAAGGATAAGGGGGAAGAGGAAGGAATGGCTACAGGGAGACAACTGGAGGACAGGAGTGGGGGGACTTACTATGGAAATGAATCCAGATTGTTGTTTAACTTTGCCAAATTGCTCATTAGCTTTGACCAATAAATATTTTAGTGAAGCGATTTTGAACAGAATTTATTTTATTTTATTTTATTTTTAAGATCTTATTGGGGAATAGGGGGAGGGGAACAGCGTTGGGGAGTCCGGGAAGGGGAACAGACAAGTTGCTGTTTTTGTTCTTCAGTCTAGTTGTGGAGGACGTCGCTTCACTGGCCCATGTTGGTATTATCATTGCGCTCTTCCCGGCTGAGGCAGATCGGTCACCGGCCACTGGACAGCCGCTCACAGCAGCTCTTGGCAGCTTGAACAGAATTTAATTTGAAGTCCTCTGCAAACCAACCTAAAAAATGCTGCCCACTGGGTCTGAAAAATGTACCCTCTTTCTTTTTAAAGGAGTCTCGCAAATGAAAAATTTTATTCAAATCCAGTGTCCCACAGAGTGGCCATTGAAGGCCCAGATCATCCTTGGTTAGGTTATGCGATTTGAAACATATGTGTAAGAATTAGATTTGTAATGAGTGGACATAAAGGAAGCAGGAGCTTTTACAGGAGGAAAAAAGGAATTCGATTTACCCAGCCCCATAAGAGCTGGCAAGTTAGTTGGAAGGGACGCTTGTGCGCTTTGAGTCTTGAGTCCCCAATTTGATAGTAGCTGCTTCCAAATGTAGACCCAACAACTTACACCTCCAGGCAGATGAAAAACCAGAGAAAAAGCTCTCTGAATCAAAGCCAAACTCTCAGGGTGAAAAAGCAAGAAACAAGGATAACTCTATCTGGTTTTATCGGGGACCCAAAGCAAAATGTATCCAAAAGAATGCTGGTCCGGTGAGAACCGCCTCTGCCTGTGTTCTACTCTGTGACAAACAACACTTTGAGACAACATAACAGAAGCAGAAAAGAGAGCAAAAGAGATGAAAAGGAATGGCCTGACTCCACTAAAAATGTCAAACAAATGGGAACCAGTAACAAAATGTGGCTTTCAAACTGAGACTAGATAGCAAAAGAACTCAAGAGCAAAGAGCAGAGTTCAGACCCAGTGTTAACTTACCACGCAACAAATACCCCACACAGCAGGCACTGGGCACAAGGCACCTCATCGAAGGCTGAGGCCTTTGGTGATGGGCAGTGCAGGCAGTATCTCTCTGGAAATTTCAGGAAAACTAGAGAAATAAATACTACCCAAATGAAAACAAGCAGAGGTTATTGATTCAGAGCTTGCTATATAGCAAGCCACCATCACTTGTGTTTGGCAGAGAGTCAAAGGCAGGGAGAGGAGTGGGAAAGTTTTATAGTGAAAAAAACAGGAAAGGTTTCAGAAATGCTGTGATTAGATCTTGGTGACATGGGGAAACAGGAGGCAGGCTAACTTGAAGCAAGGCATTTTATGGGAAACATATTTGGCTTTCTCTGATTGATCGTGATTTGGAAGTTGGGGCAAAAATTGGGCAAGTTGGTAGTTTGCCCGAGTCCTAACTCTTCTGGGCCATTTGCTGTGGAGGCTGTGGTTTGGCTTCCTGGACTGGTTGCTGCAGAGGTTGTGGGTCAGAGATCTTTTGTCATGTATGGCCTGGCCATTGTCTCTTTGTATATTCAGTCTCTCACAGTAGAAGCTTAACATTGTAGATATTTTTAACACCTGGCTGATGGGTCAGATTTTAGTCTCTAGCTATTGAACTAGGAGTCCTACAGTAACAATATTTGGTCATCTAACATTTTAAACTTTCAAATACTCTTGTCCCCTATTTCATCCTTACAGCAATCTTGTGATCCTGGGAGGCGAATTACCTTAAGTCATTCAATGAATTTGGGCTAGAATTAGGATTAGATCATGTGACAGAGTAATTTGTAATAGCACTCAAATGGTCTCATATAGATATCATCTCTAATAGCTTTAAAAATACATATTTTGGGTTCTGTGCTATGATAAAGGATCTATTCCAATTGTTTTTAATTTCATGGCTTCAAGGTAGGATAAAGCCTTGAATAAAGGGTCACAGCTCTCTTCAAATACCTACAAGGCTGTCATGCGGAAGAAGGATTAGGTTTATTCCTGTGGCTCCAGAGGGTAGAACTCACGCTAGTGAGTGGAAGAGAGGCAAATTTCAGTTAGAATGTGAAATGTCTTCCTAATAACGAGACACTTGTCCCCAAAAGAAGGGGTTGCCTTGTGAAAGAGCCAGTGCCTCACCTCTCCTAGTATTGAGTAGGACTCCATGATTCTACAACTCCAGAGAGTGCTTGCCCTGGCTGGCCCAGCTGACCTCAAAGGGCTTCCTAAACTGCAAGTTTATGAGATTTTGCTAAATTCTATCAAGAGGCATAGACATTTTAAATACAGCAGTTTAAAGGCATTCAAATTTTGGATGAAACGATGATATTATGTTTCTTAAAAACAATGAGCTTTACTTTAGACTTTACCACCAGACTCCCTTGAAGTAGCATGTTTGTCCCTTATGCCATACGTTCTCAAGAACATTTTTTAAAAAGTGAAAATTTTCCTAATAAAAGTCATCTAACTCAACCTTCCAACAGCGTTGTTTTCTGATTGTGCAGGTATAAGACTTTATACCAAATATATTACACTCATTTTTGGAGTTTTAATAAATTGTAGGAATTCAATGAGGTTTAAAAAAAAACCCTCCCTTTAATCGTAAATGCTAGGATTTTAATCTGTAATCTTAACTGTTTGAACAAGACCTGTTTCTTCTATGTGGCTTCTTTTTCCTTGTTCCTGCAGGTTGAACGCAATTATAGGCTTTTCTAGTTTACAAATAACTTGGCGTTGAAATAATACAGTGAGTCCTCTTCTGCACCTGAATGTGATTGCTTGATGTTTGTTCTCCAACAACTTCCTACGAATCCGCTTCTCACCTCACCCTTTATTTGGCTCTTTAACTGTTTAAATCAAATCCCCTAATTTTTGCCAGAAGAGTATTTCCTTTTAAAGACGGACTGTGTCTCTCTCTTTGGAAAACCAATACAGAATCCTAGGGGCTCTCCCAGAATCTGAGAAGTCATTACAGAGTGTAAAAGTAGGCAAGAGATTGGGCGGAAAGAAATGTCTGAGTAGCCTTTGACGACTTCCGGGACCAGACTTCAGGCAGTGTTCAAAATTGTCCTCTTAACCATATCTATCTCTCTTTTTTTTTTAAATGACTGTACATATTTACATGCACGTATGGCAAGGGAGAGAGTGAGCGATGACGTGAGCCCTCCTTGGAGAACAGGAGGTGATAAGGAAATAAAACAGGTGTCTGAGAAGGGGTTCTATTATTAGAGAAAGGAGAATTGAGAGGTAATAACCATCATTCAGACCGGCAGGAGTTCCCTGCAGGTAGCCGACAGAGAAAGCGAACTCGTACGTACACCCTCTTTGGGGACAGGCTCTGTTGCTTTCTATTTCTTCGCCTGCAGCCAGGGTGCACATTTATTTGAAACGGATTGGATTTCCTGTTCAATGACTGGTCAGGTTGACTCTTCAAGACAATTTCTTTTTAATGTTTCCAATGCCTTTTTATTTTTATTTTCTATTTTCTATTTTTTTTAAAGGTTGAGGGGGAAGCGATCAGCTGAAATTCTGGCTAGGTGAGTCGGGGGTTCTCAGAAATGAGAAAGAGGGAAAGGAAACGGACATAGAAGCCGGAGAGCAAAGCCGCAGCCCCCGGCCCCGGTATCCCTCGCTCCTCCTACCCCCAACCTGTGACCTCCCGTGGAGACCCCCGGCTGCTGCCTCAGTATTTGATCCCCCTTCGCCAGTGAGTTGCCAGCACTCGCCGGCGGGGCTTGCCAGGAATCGCCCGCGCTGCACTGCAGCCGGCGCCCGGGCCCCGCAGGGGGCTTAGGAAGAACCAGCCCTGCGCTCGCTCTCTCTCCAGGGCGCTCTGCTTCGCTGCCGGGCGCAGCGCCCACCATGCGGGGGTGCCCGCAGCTAGTGCTGCTCTGCGCGCTGCCCTGGCTCCTGAGGGCGGTGGCACCCGAGCGCCCCGCGCAACCTCTCGCGCGGCGCGGAGACCCCCGCGACCCCGCCAGGGGAGCCGATTTCGACCGAGTCTACAGCGGGGTGGTGAGTCTCAGCGCCGAGAACATCTACTCCTTCAACTACACCAGCCTGCCGGGCCAGGTAAGACACTCGCTCCCCTTGCTCGACTCCCAGGAACTTGCCAGATCTCAGAACCCCCGTCGCCGCTTTGGGTCCCTTGGGAATCGATCTAGGGAGCCCTCAGAGACCAGGGGACCCTCGTTCCCTTTCTCCTTCAAAGCCATCACTGCCCAGCCTGAGCTGCCGCATCCTTCGTAAGCGCCCTCGGGGACAACTCCACTTAATTTCGCGTCTCCCCTGGCTTGGTGGCTGGCATTTCTGGTCTTTCCAAGGCTCTGGTTCCCCGCACGGTCTGCGGTCCTGGCCCCCTGCTGGGCCTTTCTCAAGGAAAGTCACCGTTTCTAGGATCGCGAAGGTAAAGGACCGCAACTGTGTTCCCAGTCCCCTGCGGAGAAGGAACCTCATTTCATGTGGATGATTCAGCCAGACCCTTCTATTTCATAGCGCGTAAGGAGGGAGAGCTGCTCAGAATCTAAAATGGGAATGGACGCAAGCTGCAGAACCTCTGTGTAGTCAGTAGTCACTTCCTGTGTTTCTGTACCATTGTCACACGTTATGTGCTTCAGAGAAGCCAGAAGACCCGGCCAAATATATTGGAACTCCACCCATCCCCTGATCTATTGAGATTTTTATTTTAAATAAGGATGGATAATTGTGTGAAAGTTCTAGACTATTTCTGACAAGAATTGCAGTGAGTCAAGGGGTGGACATGACTGTTCCAGCAATTATCCCTGTGACACATACATTCTTATATAATGTAAGAAAATGCATACAGTTAGCTTTTTCCCTTTAATGTGATACTCTCTGAGGCATAGGGAAAAGAGAATACTCCTCATTGTACCTGTCTCTGGAACTTCTTACCACATAAAGATGTATGTCTATCCCCTACTATGCCTGCATTTCCTACTCCCTGGGAAAGTCCAAAACTGATGATTGAGATACCATGGTATGCCTCCCTCTCTAACTCGCACTTAGGATTAGAACTCAGAAACCTGGTAACTTCAGGTAGTATTGAGCTGGAAGGACCAATGTACCTATCACCCTCCCAGACATCTCCCAACTGTGTGTATTGAGCAAGTGCTCCATCTCCAGTCTGGCATGAAATCCTAAGGTACTGTCACCATGGCAGCACAGCCTTCTCACCCTGTCCTGTCCTCTGCTGACCTTCATGTTGTGTGTCCTGAAACAAGCAGAGTGGCTGTGTGCAAAGCCATTCCATTGTAGACAAGTGGGAGGCGGCAGTTTTTATTCTCCAAACCCCTTGTAAGTGACTTACCTCTCCCTGTCCAGTGTGCAGTATGGACCAGCTGACATATTACACATGAGGTGTGTTCCTAGACCTGTGATTGGCTCAGAACAAATATACGTCTGAAAAACTCCCATCATTTCTGGGGTGTACTGTCAGCTTCCCGCTTAAATCATTAGTAAGGAAATTCCAATGAGCTTCAAACTCAAATGGAAAGTAAGTCCTCATGTCAGGCTTTAGGGTTTCTTTACACTTGCTTAGAGATAGATTGACTGCTTTTCAATTGTTGTTGCCCTTAATATTCGGTGAGTTCCTCCACTACAGTACAGCAAAGGTTGCACTATTTGCAGTTCGAGTCACTTGCCCCACTTTCCTTAGAAAACCGTGAGATATTGAGGACAAGGGCAAAGTCTTGTCCATCTCTGTACCCCAGTACTTAGCACAGTGCTTGGCACAGAAGAGGTTTACTAATAGTTTTGAAAAAAACAATGAATTAGTGAAGAAATATTTAATGAATGTTTAATCTGAAGCTTAATAAAATAAACTATATACTGTTTTAATAAGTTGAAAGTATGAGATAATTTCAGATAAAAACAAATCATGAAAAAAATTTATGAAAAATAAAATTTTTTTAAATTGTTCTGATTATGCCCTTTCCATTTTTGCTTGTATGTGTGTTAAAATGCCCTTTAGTTTATGAAACTAAAGGTGATAATTAGTACTTAAAATATCTTTGCATAATATAATAAAAAGTTGGTCACCCAGCAGTTCCTAAAATTTTACTAGTCTGAGAAATACAGTTGGGTGCTGGCAGATAACTCAAGTATTTTAATTATTTTAATGCCAGTATAGAATAATATGAACCAGATATTCTCAAACTTTATAGCTTTCTGAGAGCTCTCTTTAATATGCAAATAAGACAGTTACTTACTTTAGGAATTTACCCTCCTTTCCCTCCAGCCAGTGTTTCTGTTGATTTCTCCAGAAACGGTATTTTTTCTGGTCTTTCCATCCAAACTATTACTCTGTTTCGATTAATGGCCTCCTTTCTTCTTGTCCCATTTGCCCATGTTAAATACCAGCAGCCCCTCCTTCCAATATCATGAAAATGATTCTGTTGGATGAAGCAGAATTTTACTGAAGGTTTCGAATAACATAAGGAAACTGTGGAACACCACAGTGTAAGTGATAGATTAAATCAGAAATCTAAGCAACACTGTCATAACAATTTATCAGCTATCCCCAACCGGGGATATTTCAAGATGGTGGCACTATTTGGGGGGCCTTGGCTTGTCACCATCTTTTTGCCACCACCACCCCCAATGCTAGCCTCCCAGGCTCTATATTTTTGTTACTGTCTCATGTCAAGCAGTTTTGCCTCCATCACTAATTCCAAAGTCAGTATAGGACTCTGCTAAAGATCTATGAATCCAAGAGCAAAAGTTTGCCCATGACCTTTTTACTTTCACCTGAGCAAGTCTTGGTCAGAGCTCCCTCCTCTGCACAGGTCATTTCCCACCTACCCCTCTTCAGTGCAACAAAGAATTTGGTTTGGAAAAAAAAAACCTCTAATTTTTTGAGTTTTTCTCTTTTTTCCTTTTCTCTTCAAGCCATTGTTATGTTTGCCATTATTTTTCCTTAAGCTTGGAGAAGAAAAGCTATTCTAAATTTAGGCTTTGGTGAAGAGAGGAAGCTGCAATGGGGGCCTTCCCTCCTAATCTTTCCTGTCAGCTGCTGCATCTCCCATACCAAACACTGTCCTGGAGAACTATTTAGCCAAGCATGTGTCACGCTAATTAGCTGAGCTCAGCACCAGGAAAAGTCTCACATGCCTTCCAGGCAGGGACAAATGTAAATATGAAGTTGCCATTAAAAAACAAATGAACATATCACTGAAAGAATGGAGTGGCTGGTTTAAAGAAGAATAATGAAAATAACAATTGAAGATTCAGGTAGGCAAGGCCATGGTTCATTTCATGTCCCTGGAGGGGAAGTGTCTGGAGACTCTTTTAAGGGGAGCAGGGTTTCACTGTGGCTCACAGGGTGTTCTAAAGCCACAGGGCTGGAGCATAACTAGAAGGAAATCACCTTGCTGGGAAAGTTACCGAGGATATGTTTGACTAGGACAGAGGGCACAAAAGCAGGTTTACTAGAAATGAGAATCCTCTTGTAGAGAGAGGTGGCAGCAACAATCAAAGGTTTACATTTGAGCTAGATGGTGATAAAGAGCCCTTAAATAAAAATCTATCCCCTGTGCAATAACATATCTTCTCTGAGGCTTTCAATAACAGAATTCATATTTTGCCATAGATTTTTAAATGTGAAATGTTTCCCTGCAAATCAGTCTGTTTATTTGTTTGTTTGTTAATTAAACTGAGGCATTTATCTTTTAATGGCTTATACTTTTCTATACCCAAGGAACAATCCTTGGCTTTATTAATATCAACCAGTAGTTGTATATCTTGAACCAGTTATACCAGCCTCGTGGATCTGGATTCAAAAAGCCTATCCAGGTCTCATGAACAATGAAATACATACCAGGACATTGCAGTGGTAACTTCCACCTACATACATTACTCGTTAAGAGGAAGAATGAAAGACTTTGATGTGAGAGCTTCAGTTCTGGTCCCTTATGGACATTCCCTGTGTTCTCTGTATGGAGGCAGAGAAGCCACCTCTGCTATCCTCACACATCCCCTTACTGAACTGGACTGGTGCTTGTTTCTGAGGACAGAGTCATCTCATTAGCACAGTTTCTGGGTGATTGGTTGCTGTCTCACTCAGTTCAGGACGTTATAACAGAATACCCTAGTCTGAGTGCTAAAAAATAAATATTTCTTTATTTATTTATAAAGAAATATAAGAAAGGCTGGGAAGTCCAAGGTTAACATGTCAGTATATTTGGTGTCCGGTGAGAGCCGACCTCCTGACTTGTAAACAGTGCCTTCTATTTGTGTCTTCACATGGCCCAGAATGCAGGGAGAGTAGCAAGCTCTCTGCTGTCTCTTCCTATATGGGCACTAATCTCATCGTAAGTGCTCCAACCTTGAGATCTGATTACCTTCCAAAGTCCCTACTTCCAAACACTATCACACATGGCTATGGAGCACTTGGAATATGGGCTAGTCACAGATGAGATGTTCCGTAAGTGTAGAATATACACCAGATTTTGGAGACAGTATGAAAGCAGCAACATAAAATGTAGCATTCATATTTTTATTGATTATGTATTATATACTCAATATATTAGGTTACATAAATATATTAATAAAATTCACTTCACCTGTTTGACTTTTTTAATGTAGCTACTAGAAAATCTAANTTTCACGCTGTTCACTGAGACAAGAATAATAAAGCCCTTTGTCTCCAACCCAGAAGTCTGTGTCTTCTATCAGTATTGATGAAACTGAGGCAAGTGGGTTAAATTCTTAGATTTTTCAAAGCTTCTGAAAACCATTATCTTAAATTTGTCATTTGTCATTTCTATGTATGTATATTTTACTAAAGATGTAAATATATAAATATAGCATTATTTTGCTTGTTCACAAAGTTTACATAAATGGGATCATGTAGTATGTATCCTTCAGCAACCTGCTCTTTCTCTCAGTTTATCTTCTTGAGTTATCTGTACTAATCCATAGTCTAGTTTATTCATTTTTAACCACTGAATAACATTTTGTTGTATGAGTACAATTTATTTATTTATGCTCCTGTTATTTAGCTTATTTTTGTTGCTATTTATGTTGTTTCCAAATTTTATTGCAACCAATGCTTTGAATGAACATACCTGTTCATGACTCCTTGTGTATATGTAAGTTTTTCTTGTGTATGAACTTAAGAGTGGAAACCCTGGAATGCAACGTGAATTCATCTTCAGCTATAGCAGACATTCCCAACTTGGTCTCTCAAGTGGCTATACCAAATAACATTTTCATAACAAGATGCAAG